GACCTGGGTAACGCGGTGAAACCTCGTCTCTACTAAAAATCCAAAAACAAAATTAGCCAGGTTTGGTAGCAGGTGCCTATAGTCCCAGCTATTTGGAAGGCTGAGGCGGGAGAATGGTGTGAACCCGGGAGGCGGAGCTTGCAGTGAGCCGAGATAGCACCACCGCACTCCAGCCTGGACAACAAAGCGAGACTCTGTCAAAAAAAAAAAAAGCAGGGGGCGAGAGGCTCAAAAATCTTCTAAAGAATTCCAGTAAGTGAAATAATAGTTACACTTAATATAACTTCCGATGCTTTAAGCACTTTACATGCAGCAGTATCTTTTCTCAAACAACCCTCTGATAGTTACTATTCTATTTTGCAGCTAATCTTTGGCTCAGAGGGACTAAGTAGGGAAGAAAATAAGGAAAAATAAAGCCAAGCACAGTGGCTCACACCTGTAATCCCAGCACTTTGGGAGGCTGAGGCAGGAGGATTACTTGAGGCCAAGATTTTGAGACCAGCCTGGGCAACAAGGTGAGACCCCATCTCTACAGAAATTTTTTTTTAATTAGCAGAGTGTGGAGGCATGCAACTGTAGTCCCAGCTACTGAGAATCACTTGAGTCCAGGAGGTCGAGGCTGCAGTGAGCTATAATCGTGCCACCGCACTCTAGCCTGGGTGATAGAGCAAGACTTCATATCTACAAAAATAAATTTAAAATTAAATAAGAAGGAAAAAAATGAATCTTCACAATTTAGATCTAGAGGAGGGCAGGACTGAGGCCCAGAAACAGGTAAGAGTTTGGTCAAGGTAAGAACAAGACTGGGAACAGGATCCAGGCCCTTCCTTCCTTACTCCAGGTTGGTCTAGTTGATCTCTTGCAGCTGAAATCACAGCAGGAAGAACTGCATTTAGACTCCACAAGAGACTTCCAAGGGGTTATGCAGAATGCAACACGCTAATGGTCAAAAACAGGGCCCGATACATCTCAGGACAGGACACACCAACCAGGACCACGCAGCCTCAACCTCATCACACCTACTCTGAGGCAGACACTGGGGATGGATGAGACCTTCACTGCCCTCCAGGGGCTCAGATAGAGACATGACCACAGCTAAGTTAGCATCTGACATGTTTGAGTGCGACGGAGTGTGAGGCAGGCATGGAGAGCCAACAGAGGACTCACGCCTTATGGTGCCCTTCTGCCGAGAAGCAATGACCGAACCGAGGACAGCCCTCCTCCCTTCAAAAGCCACCCCAACTCACAAAGCTTATAAATGGGCTGGAGAATGACTCTCCATAAATGCACTGGGCAGTTTCCTCCCACCCCAGGCTGGAATGTGGCCCATGGCCAGGGGAGCCTCTCAGGGAATTAGTCTCCAAACCACAAACACTGCTTGTGACCCACATGGCCCTGGCCCAGGAAGAAACTCAAACCTGACCCCAAAGCCCTGGGGATCTTCTGGATTGACATCAGGCAAGTCCAGATTCGGTATTTGAAAAAGGAAAATGTGAGCAACCAGTCCTGAATGACGCAGGTTGCAGAATGTACATCCTAGATCCTGCCTACAATTCCCATGAAGTTCCCTTGTTGACATGATCATCACAGCAGGAGCTGGAGAAAATTGGCCTTGAATCGCACAGAATCTCATGATTCCCTAGCAAAATGCAAGGAGCACAGAGCTGGACTAAAGAACCTTGAAAGAATCTTCAGGCAGCTTGTTTGCATTTGCGAGTGTTGGCAGGTCAGTATTTATCAACCAGGGCTGATGTGTGAGCCCAGTGGGGCCATGCCTCCTACCCCTCAGGAGGGTGGCAGCCTGCCAGCCAAGTTTCAGTCCCATTCCTCTTGCATGAGACTTTTCTGTTTACACAAGAAGAGGGCTTTTTGGATACCTGTCCTCCGGGCAGGCACCCAGAAGAACACAGCAGACACTCTGGCACTAGAGTGCCTTAAAAGGTAAAGCCCAGGCCTCTGGCCAATGACGCACTTTAGCCCCACCCAGGCACATAGAAAGCAGAAACTATTGTTGTATTGATGATGTAACTTCATGCAATAGAAAGGAATGTGAGCTCACTGTATAGAAGCTTCTCTTGAGCCTGTGTGGCAGGGAAAGAACCCAGAAACCCAGCCTTTATCTAGCCACCCCACTCCCCAGACTGGTCTATCTTCCAACCGCCAAAGTTCAATGCCTTGTAAAAACTTGGACCAACTTACACCCTAGATCTGAAGTAGAGACACAGCCGGAGCCTCCATCGGATTTCACAGCCCACATTTTCTTCCACCCCTGTGTGTTGTTCCCCTGCCCGCCACCAGATCATATTAACAGAACTGGGTGGCCCAATTGTGTGTTAAACCAGAACTCAGGCTTTGGCCACCCAAGCCAAGAGATATGTTCATATCTCTCCAGCCCCCATCTGCAAGGGCCACCTGTCCTCAAGTGCCCCATCAGGGAGCTAGAAGGCACTGACCCAATCCCCATCCCACCCTTTTCTGTTTCTGCTCGGTTTCCTCATCTATGGCCCACCTCCCTACCCAGAACCTCATCTCCAGGAATCCTAGAGTGTTTTCCTCACCATCCTGTCCCCTGCACCAAGCACTATGAGACCGTTCAGTAAGTACGTGTAGAGTGAATGGACGGATGGAGAATGGAATTCTCAGCTCTGCTGACCAGACGCTATGGGCCCCGGCTAGACCGTTCTGCATGAATGAACCCTTTCTCTCGCTTTCCCCACGGACTCCGGGCTCCCCATCCTAAAGACCCTGGTTCTATAATATCGAATCACCATACGCTTAAGTCACATACACCCGCACACCAGGAGGGGAGGAGGTTGCTTCCTGGTATTGTTCTTGCCCTGACCCCTCCACCACAGCCAGGTTTGTCTGCGCTCTGGGAATGGCCTGGAGAATCCAGGTTTAAACGCCTGGCAGCTCAGACCACTGCACAACTGTTTATTGAAGAAAAGTCCCTGGAAAGAAGGGAAGGGGGCAGTTCCGAGGGGCAGGGTTCTTGGTCCAGGTAAGCTGGCCAACCACCTCTACCCAGCGGCACCAGCGTCCAGGCCATCTGCACTGGGGATGGTCATAGTCCCGTAAACTGTGCTCCAACGCCTCACGCCCCGGTGTTGGGGGCAAAAAGAAAAGATGATGTGGGGTCAGCTGTATGGGAGGGGGCATCTGAGACAAGAGGGCTAAGTCTTTAGGGCAGAAGCTGAGGGTTCCTTGTCTTCTCCGGAGCGAGGCGGGAAGGGTTCAACATCTGCGGGAGACCCCGCTGCTGAAGCCCCGGACACAGCCACAGCCAGGGGAACCGCAGAGCGCGTAGCCGCCGCCAGGGGCGCTGTTCTCCAGGGCGCAGGAGCCAGCTCGGGGCTGGAGCAGGCGGGCGGAGCCCGGGGCGGGGACCGGCGGAACGCAGGACTACTGTCGGAGGGAGGAAAGCCCTTGCGTACCCCAACCCCAAGCCCCAGAAGACAGAGTTGCAGGCATCTCCTCCAGCGGATAGATACACAGACCCTCCTCCCCACCAGGAGACAGACGTATAAACTCCTCCAAAGGAACAGGTACACAGACCTCTCCCCAAAGAACAGACCACAAGACCCCCTTCCCCACACACGCAAACACAGAGTCACCCCCGAGAGAAGAAATAGCCCCCGACAAAAGAAGAGGCACAGAGGGAGCTGTCACAGACACAGGAACAGAAACACAGCCCTTCTGCCTTCTTAAGAGGAGGCACGCCAAGGTGTGGACGGGGAAGGAGGGAATAAGGAGAATAAGATAATAAGATCCGACCACGCCAGCCTACTGTTTACTTACTGATGCTCCCTGCCCCAAATCCCAGACCAAGCCTGCGGGAAGAAGGAGGAAGCAGGTGAGTCCATCCGTCCACTAAGTTTCGTTTTCGCATTCCCCAGGACACACACTCCTGACCCTCCCAGACAGCAGTCCTTCCACCCTGCAAGCTCCCTGGTGCGCTCTGATCACTCCTGCCTTAGATTCATATAACTCACTTTTGTTGATGACTCTTTGGAGGAAAGAGAAGACAAAAAAAAAAAAAAAAACCTTTCTTTGGCCTGACTTGATCTTGGAAGGTGAGACCGTGATGGGGACATTTGAAACCTCTAAATGAGGTTTATCCCAGGAACAGGGAGAGTTAAACTCTAGGAAACTGATTATTGTAGTTTACCACATCTAACCATTTAAATTAGTACAAAAAACTTTAATGAAATTCAATATTTCCTAATTTAAAAAACACATTTTAAAATCTAGGATTAGGAAGAAATGTCCTTAACTTGAATGCCATTAATCAGAAACCAGGGACAGTGATCTAGATTCCAGCTTCTTCTCCAGACCCAAGGCTGCTAGGGGAAGTGCTGTCTATGAAGTCAGGGGACCCCTTCCCTTCTTGCACCTCGCCCCCATGTGCATTCAATACACAAACAGCCAGGGAACAGTAACTCACACTTGCACAGTGTCTGATGCTTTTCACAGGCTTTACTCCACCATCTCACTGGGGCCTCACAACCACCCATGAAGTTAGCCAGATGGATGTGACTTTTCCCATTGTCTTTCCTCAGGCAAACTGGGGCACATTCCATCCACCACGTGCAAGAGGGGAGTGAGTGACCCTGCCAGCCAACAGTTGAGTCAGACTGCATTTTAAGCCTGTACTCTTTGCTCTCCACCAAGGTCATACACACCCCCTCAACCCAGAGAGCAGGAACTGTTCCCACCAGCCCATTGCAAACTTTCTTCTAGGGCAGATGGAGTGTGGGGGGACAGACTCCAAAACATCATCTCAATCTCTTCTGTGTTCCCACTGCCCCCTTTTTCTGCTCCTGTTCCCAAAAGCTGTATGCCCAACAGATCTGGGTGGAGTCCAAGACACCTCATCCCTGTGTGACCAGGGAGCCATGTGTATGAGTCTCACCATAGAGAAAGAACTGTGGTCTCCTCCAAGCCTCTCTTGAGCACCAAAGCCCAGCTCCAACCCAAGAGCTACCAGAATCCTTGCCACTGAGGACTAGGGCCTCTTCTTCCTGGGGGCTCTGTGACCTCACCTCATTACAATCACAGAGTTCTGCCCAGGAGGCCTCGGGGGCATAGGGTAGAAGGAGGCCATACTGTGACCCCAGATGGGAAAATGGAAGTTTCTGGGCTGAAGTGGAACTTAAAGGAAAGTGGAGGAGGAGAAGGCTACCTCAGATGGAGGAAATGTGTGGAGCTGAAGAGCTTAAGCTTATGGATGGGCACTGGGGAGCCACAGAGAGTGTTTGAGCAGAGGAGTGGCCTGACATGAGATGTGATTGTCTAGAAGCAGTGTAGAAGATTGACAGGAGGGCAAGAAATTGAGACTGGGGATGCCAGTCCCAAGACTTGGTAGGAAATCTTGGGTAAGGCAATGACTTTAACCTGTAGGAGTGAGTAGGGGCTAGAGAGCACAAGCTGCTGTCAGCATTTTCCTTTTGTTTTATAAATTTCTCATACATGCAAAAGAGTATGCAAAACCTACATTTATTGATTTCAATAGCAACAATAATAAAACAAATCCTTGTGTACCCACCAGTATCTTCAAACCCCTCTGCGGGATTTTTTCTGATCCATCTCTATCCATCTCTAACCCCATCTGATCCCCAAAGTAACCACTGTCCTGAGTTTTTATGTTGGTCATTCTCTTGCTTTTCTTTATTACTATGTCATATGTGTGTATCCCTAAACTAGTGCTGAGTTTTCCTACCTTTAAGTTTTATATAAACAGAATTACACCTTGTACATTTCTATGACTTGCTTTTTCCTCCTCAACATTCTAGTTTTGAGATTCATCTTTTTGATGCATATAGTTTTATTTCTCAGTACTGTATAGTATTCCAAAGTATGACTATATATATAGATATAGATAGATATACACATATATATATGCATTTTCCTATAGGCAGCACATGTGTTTTTTGTTTTTGTTATAACAAACAATGCTGCCATGAACTTGCTTATACATATCTGCTGGTGGACCTCAGCAAAAGGTTCTTTGGGGTACTAGTTGTCAAACTGTTTTTTAACCTCAACTTTAAATAAGAAATATATGTTGTATCATGAATCACTATCTACATACAAATATACACACATCTACTGAAATAAGTTTCATGGAAAAATCATTTACTTCTACTATGTGTAAGGCAATCTGATCTAACCAATCACCTTAACACATTCTTTTACTTTCAACTTATGTCCTCATGTTTTAAGTTTATTTCTTATAACTAGCATATTACTTTATTATTTAATAATAGAATGAAAATGAAATACTCATGAACCCACCTACTGTCCCAAAACTAAAAGCTTACTAGTAATTTACATTTAGCTCCATGCTCCTTCCCTACCCTGTCCTCTACTAACCACCCCAGAGGTAACCACTTCCCTAAAGTTAATAAAATTCCTTTGTTTTTTCTTAGTTTTATCACATACACGTATATGCCTAAATATATATTTGTTTCAGTTTTTTGTTCTTTTTTTATAAAAAGGGTGTCACACAAGGTCTTTTTTTAATTCAATATCATGTAGCTAGTATTCCTCCATTATCGTATTAGTATTCCATTCTTAGAGTATTCCATTGTGTGACTATACCACACTTTAGGTAATTCTATTATTGTTTTGTTTTGTTTCTTTCTCTTACAAAGGTGGTGCTATGAAGATTTTTCTACACATCCTCTGATGCACATATGTGAGGATTTGTATACAACTACAAACAGAACTTCTGACTCATAAGATGGTCACAATCTTATAAAGGTGTTAACTTTATAATATAAGATTATTTTCCAAAGTTGTTATAACAATTCACATTTTGCTCAGCAATGTGAAAAAGATTCATATTCTCTTTAATGTGTCTTAATTTCCAACAATTAAATAATTCAATCTCATTTTTGGTGTTACTTTATATTTTCATGATTACTGTTAAAGTTTAATATCTCTTTAAATATCTATTACGTGTGTATTTCCTTTTCTTTTGCCTTTATTTTTCTATTGGGTTTTTGTCTTATTCTAAATGACTATAAGTGTTCTTTATATTTCTGAGTATTACTATTATATCACTTATATATATCACCAATATTATCATTTACAGCTTATCTTTTCACTTTGTCACCTATTTTGAAAAATAAAGTTGATAGTTTTAATGTAATCTAATTTATCAGTCTTTTATGTTGAGCATTTTATGTGCCTTGTTTAAAAATCCTTCTCTACACCAAGGTCAGAAAAATATTCTCCAATATTTTCTTCTGAAACTCTTAAAGTTTTGCTTTTGATATTTGTAATTTAAATGAATTTGAAACTGATTTTGTGTATAAGAGAGAACGGGGACCTAATTTTATTTTTTACATGTGGTTAACCAATGCATAGTCCTTTTCACTACTGATCTGCCATACCACTTCTATTGTACAACAAAATCATTGATTTATTTACAAATAAATTTAGGGCTATTTTGTTCCATTGTCCAGTTTGTCTATTCTTGTGTGGGTACTATACTTTCTCAATTACTATAACTCTATAATACATTATAATCCCTGAAATAGAGAGTACCTATTTCTTCCTTTTCATCATTCCTTAGCTATTCTTGACCTTCGTTCTTCCCCATAAATTTTAGAATCAACTTGTCAAGAATTATGTAAATCTTTGTTTGGAATTTGAGTGTAATTGCATCAACTCTGTAGATCAGTTTAAGGATAATTAACATATTTATGATAGTAAAGCTTCCTATCTAAGAACATGATATATCTCTTCATTTAATTATGTCTTCTTTATCTTTTGTTTCCTATAACATTTTGTATAATGTTTATATTTCTCTAGGTGTAAGTCTTTTGCATATGTGTTAGATTTATTTCTAAATATCTTATGCGTTTTAAATCATTGTTTTATCAGCTTAATTGAGATATAATTTGCATACAATTGTATCTCAATAAAGCGCACACATTCTAAAAGTACACAGTTCAACAAATTTTGACAGATGTATGCTCCAATCTAATCACCACTGAATGAATCTAGTTCATTATTTTTTGTTGCTGAATAATATTTTATTGTATGACTGTATCTCAATTTGTTTATCCATTCATCTACTAGTACACATTTGGATTGTTTCCAATTTGGGGCTATTATAAATAAAGTTTCTATAAAATTTATGTACAAGTCTCCGTATAGATCTGCTTTTATTTCTTTTGAGGAAATACCCAGGAGTGGAATTGCTGCATCATTTGATAAGTGCATGTTTAACTCCATACGAAATTGACAAACTGTTTTCCAAAGCAGCTAAATCATTTTACACTCCATGAAAGTTTCAGCTGATTCACACTTGGTATTGTCAGTCTATTAAAGTCTATTAAATTTTAGCCTTCTAAAGCTAGCAAGAAACAAGGAGGAAAAGAAGACTGGAGAAGGGAAGGGAAGAGCAAGACAGCAAGGGAAGGGGAAGGTTGGAAGATGGCTGGTGAGAGGCTATTCTCTTCGTGGGTTCAGTCGGGCCAGAATCCTCAAACAGGACATGCCCATGGGCTACGTGCCACTCCTCTCAACAGCCTTTCTCAGCTTGGGGGCAGCAGGGGCCAAGGAAGAGGGATTCCCACACAACAAGAAGTAAGAAATGGGAAGCAGAGAACATGGATCAGGGTGGGTCAAGCAGTGGCGCCCCACCACCAGGCTGCACAAGGTCAAGTAGGGCCAGCTGGGACCCTTGCAAGTGTGAGAGGCTGCGCTGGGTGCATCCTCAAGCTCTGACAACTTAACACTTCCTGCAGCTGCTGACACAGGCCCCATCCCACAGGAGCTGATGCCGCAGGTGCAGTTGGCCAAGAGGGCTCCACATGCAACCACACCAAGGAGCTGCTCACACCTACACAGGGACAGCAATGAGAAGTTAAACCCTTTGGTAGGGATGGGAGCTGGTCCCAAAAAGCCCCACCTCCAATCAGCACTGGCTTCCTACCAGCTGGGAGCAGCCAGGAGGATGGCTTCTGCTTACCTCCATCTCCAGGGGTGAAGATGGCATTGCTTCCCTGTAGTCCGGGCCAGGGACTGACACCCTGACTAGGAGTGAGTCCATCTTGGGGTTTAATCTCAATCCCTTCTTCCTTTCCTTTTTTTTTTTTTTTTTTTTGTGTGTGTGTGTGTGTGTGTGTGAGATGGAGTCTCACTCTGTCAACCAGGCTGGAGTGCAGTGGCACAATCTCGGCTCACTGCAACCTCCACCTTCCAGGTTCAAGCAATTCTTATGCCCCAGCCTCCCAAGTAGCTGGGATTACAGGCAAGCACCATCATGCCTGGCTAATTTTTTGTATTTTTAGTAGAGACAGGGTTTCACCATGTTGGCCAGGCTGGTCTCAAACTCCTGAACTCAAGTGACCCACCTGCCTCAGTCTCCCAAAGTACTGGGATTACAGGTGTGAGCCACCGCACCCAGCCTCAATCCCTTCTTTCCATAAATGTGAGCTCTTACTATATTGCCCAGGCTGGTCTCAAACTCCTAGGCTCAAGCAATCCACCTGCCTCAGCCTCCCAAAGTTCTGGGATTACAAGGGTGAGCCACCATACTCGGCTGAGACCCTGTCTCAAAAGAAAAGAAAAAAAAAATCAGGACAACCTCAGGATCTACGACATGTGGATTTGATGACAGCTCATTCAATCCACATGTATTTAAAGAAGATTAAATGAATGTTTTAATCCAGTAAAGTGACTGACATCTTGAACATGGACAAGTATGTTTGGACAGGGAGAGAATAAGAGCTTCCTACCGAAGGGGAGAAATTATAATTTTCTTCAACCCACATAAATTTGTAGTTGAGACAGACTCCTGCAACAACAGACAGATTAACAAGAGAAAAACAAGCAAGTTTACCAACGTGAGCAGCGCACGTCATAGAAGGAGAAAAGTAACAACCAGGGACTCTACATGGACAAAGGGACTGGAGAATGAATGCTGAGATCCAGGTAGGGCACACACAGGCTGTGTGGTTTATGTAGTCATTCATCAGTACTCATGAGGGACTGGTTCCAGGACGCCCGCAAATATCAAAATCTGAAGATGTTCATGTCCCTTATATAAAATGGCATAGTATTTGCATTTAACCTATACACATCATCCCATATACTTTAAATCACCTCTAGATTACTTATAATATCCAATGCAATGTAAATGCTATATGAATAGTTGTTACATTGTATTGTTCAGAGAGTCATGAAAAGAAAAAAAGTCTGTGCATGTTCAGTATAGTTTTTTTCCAAATATTTTCAACCTGCAGTTGGTTGAATCCACAGATTCAGAAGGCCAACTGTATATTCATCTTCAACAAGGAATAATCAATTTTAGAGAAATGACAAGACAAAGAAAAGCAGTTTAAGGCTTCCAAAGATGAGAAAAGGTGGGAAGGTAAATTTATGGGTAAACTAATAGAGTAAAGTCCACCCAGATTCCTCTGGCGCCACCTCTAAGCTCATAATGGTTGTAAGGAGAATTTACATCTTGGCTTTAGGCAGAAAAGCGGAGAGGATAGAAAGACCTTTGTCTTTGTAATTCTCTGTTCTGCTTTTAGGCAAACACAGGGAAAGCAGAGAGCTCCCCTGCATCTTCTTAATTGCTTTTAGCTTGATAAAATATTTATATCAGGCCAGGCACGGCAGCTCACACCTGTAATCTCAACACTTTCGAAGGCCAAGGCAGGTGGATCACTTGAGCTCAGGAGTTCAAGACCAGCCTGGGCAACATGGCGAAACCCCATCTGATATGGTTTTGTTGTGTCCCCAACCAAATCTCATCTTGAATTATAGTTCTATAATCTCTATGTGTCATGGGAGGGACCTGGTGAGAAGTGATTGGATCACTGGGGCAGTATCCCACACGTGATTCTCATGAAGATGAGTGAGTTCTCATGAGATCTGATGGTTTTATAAGCATCTGGCATCTCCCCTCCTGGCACTTCTACTTCCTGCTGCCTTGTGAAGAAGGTGCCTTGCTTCCCCTTCACCTTCTGCCATGATTGTAAGTTTCCTGAGGCCTCCCCAGCCATGATGAACTATAAGTTGATTAAACCTCTTTCCTTTATAAATTACCTACTCTCGGGTATGTCTTTAGAGCAGAAGAGAACGGACTAATACACTACATCTACGAAAAAAAAAAAAAGAAAAAAATTAGCCAGGTGTGGTGGTACACACCTATAGATCCAGCTACTCAGGAGGCTGAGGTGGGAGGATGGCTTGAGCCCAGGAGGTCAAGGCTGCAGTGAGCCATGATCACACCACTGCACTCTAGCCTGGGTGACACAGTGAGACACTGTCTCAAAAAAAAAGATAAATATTTATGTTAAAGATACATATTTTGAGGTGATGCATTCTGGTTCCTCCACTATGGTGAGGATAATAAGACTGCCACTCTGACAAGTCTGGCATAAGGAATGATTCCACTGAAGACTTGTCGTTTGGCTCCCTCTTTATAACTGTGTAGCTGTAAACGAATGGAACCACTTCTCCCTTGGTATCTCCACCCTCAGAGCTAGAAAATTCTTCCCGCTGGCAAACCTCAGAGTCTCCCTTCAGGGCCAGAATTACTCACAGATATTCAGAGCATGGATGCCATCACACAGCCTGGTGCAGGAGAGAAAATGTCAGCATTAGCACTGGGCATTAATTCCTGACAATGACACCAGAGGCCATGTGGTCACCAGCTCTGAACTCAGTCAAGCAAGGGGTCACCCAAGCCTCTCCCAGAAGGTGAGTGGAGGGAAGACCTGGGTCTAGCACCCTCAAAGTCCCAGCATCGTCCCAACCCTGTTCCAAAAGAAC